GAGGGAAAGGCAGCCGGAGCGGGCTCTCCCTCCAGGGCTGCAGCTATCACCAGCAGAGCCCTGCTCCGGCTGGCAATGGCACAGGCCACTGTCCCCAAGCCAGGGACTTTGGGAGGTGAGTGGGGCTCGGGCCTCTCCGCTGCAGCCCCCAGAGCGCTGCGTGTCCCACGGGCAGGAGCGGCCCCCGCTGCGGGGCGAGGAGCGGCAGCCGTGTGTGACACAGCCCGAGTGCCTGTCCCCAGCTGGGGACCAGGGGCAGCTCCCCCCGGAGCCACCTCAGGGCAGAGCCCGGCAGGAGGAGGAGGAGGAGGAGGAGGAGGAGGGAGCGGAGCCGGGATGCCGAGACGTGCCGACAGTACTGAGCCACAGACAGCAAAAATAAATAAGGAGGGAGGTGACCAAGTGCGCTCACGCCCTGTCCCCAACACCCCCGGGCTGCCCCTGCAGCCACTGAGGGCTCTGCAGGAGCACGGGGCAAGCATGGCTGAGCCAGCTGGATGAGGACATTTGCATTAAGTTAATTAAAAAAAAACAAACAAAACCCCAAAACAAAACCGAACCCCAACCCTGTGCGAGTCCGGGACGCGCTTCCCTGGCTCCCAGCTCTGCCCGGTGAGTGTGTCAGGGACACTTTGGCACAGCAGACGCTGGGGCTGGGCAGGGCTCCCGCGGTTCGGAGCGTCCCTTGGAGCGGTGCCTGTCGGGACAGTCCCCAGCACTTCCTGCAGTGTCCCTTTCCTGAGCTTCTCCAGGTTCCCTTTCGCCCTCCACAGCCAGAAGGGCTTCAAAATAACGGAGTCAGACAGCACAGCCTGGCTGCTGGCTTTCCTTTTCCCTGGTCCGTGGCTCAGTCACCCCCCGAGCTGAGGCTTCCTTGTGCCTTCATCAAGTGCAAAGACGTTTGGAGTCCCTCTTCATCCTCTCAGAGCACCAAATCCAGCGAGGAGCGCAGCCCTTACTTGACTTCCAGGATGGAGGGGTTGGTCTCCATGATAGCCACGATGATCCTGTCGATGTAATCCTGCAGGCGGAAGTTGATCTCCTCCTGCTTCTGGATTGCTTCCATGAGCTGCAGCAGAGGGAGGGAAGGGAGGGAGAGGTCACTGCCTGACACTGCTGAGAGCTTCCCGTGGCTCTGAGCATCCATGGGTGTCTCCCTGGTTCTTCACTCTGGACTGGGATAGTCCTGACCCTGTTTAAGTGGCCAGGGAAAACTGGTTCTGCTCACTCCTGTCCTTCCTCAAGCTCTCAGCCTGATGGGGCCCTGGAGAGAGCAGGGAGCATCACGTTCCCCAAAATATCCAGGGGTGTTTCCCCACTTCCTGAGGTGTTAAAGATTTAATTCCAGTGAATGTGCGGGCTCAGCCACCCGTGGTTTGTGCTCAGGGGGAACATGTGCTGGAGGAGTTGGCATCTCCAGGGAGAATGTTCTGGCTCCCAGGGGTTTAAAGACAGCTCCAGACAGATGGACAGAGCCCTTGGTGGCTGCTCTGTCCTGGAAGGGGAAGGCTGTCCCCAGGCAGGCAAAGCAGAGCTGCCAGGGTTTGGGCAGGGAGCAGCTTCCCTGCTCCCAGGAGGGAGGGCTGGGAGGCTGGCTAAGTCCTGAGAGCTCTACAGACAATTGTGTGATGATTTCTTTGCTCTTGCCAGCTTTCAGGGGAATTTTGGGTGTGAGCTGGGCCACAGACAGGGCACATCAACTCCTGCCAGGCCATGCCAGGTGCAGGCACCCAGGAAGGTGCAGTCTGAGCCAGCAGCTCCTCACAGCACGTACCTCATCTCTGGAGACAGAGCTGATCTCCGCTGCCAGGGACTCAGAGAAGGAGGCTGAGAACAGGTTCTTGGCTCCCTGGATGCTCAGGTTGATGATCTGCCCGTTCAGTTCATCGTTCTGCTCCTTCAGGTTCCTGTTATCCTGTTCACACACACAAACCACACGCTGCTGGGGCACCTGGTGCTCAGAGCTGATCCAGCCTGGCAAAGGCACACAGGGGCTTCCATCCTAACACAGCTCACACAGTGCTGGGAGCAGCACTTGGGTCGCTGCCCAGAGGTTCCAGAGAACCTCTGGAAGCATGAGATACACTGTGAAGATCCAGAGAGAAGGGCTCCTGCTGTCCCTGAGAAAGCACCAACCTCCCTCTCCCAGGACAGCAGAGCAAGTCAGCCCTAGGCTCCTGGATCCACTCCATCTCTTGGGAGAGAGCCCCAGGACCCTGCTGGTCCTCCCTTGGCATCAGGGAATTGTTTCCCTGCCAGCCCAGGCCTCCTTACCTGCTTGAGCTGCTTGATCTCCTGCTCCAGCTCTGTCTCCCGTGTCCTGCTGTTGTATTCCTGCAGCCCCATGCTGCTGCTCCGGCCCCTGCGCTGCTCCGCCTCCAGCTTGAAGAGCTGCAGGTGCTCCAGCTGCTTCCTGAGGTCCTCAATGAGCTGCAGAGCAAGGCAAGGGGACAGCTGAGTGCCACAGGCCCCAGAGATCCAGCAGCAGCCTCTGGATGTGGCTGCCCCATCCCTGGAAGTGTCCAAGGCCAGGCTGGATGGAGCTTGGAGCAACCTGGGACAGTGGGAGGTGTCCCTGCCCATGGCAAGGGGTGGAACGAGATGGGCTTTGAGATCCCTCCCAACCCAAACCATTCCATGATTGAATTCCTTTCTGGGGGGCAATTGGTTTTCTCTTCCTCCTTCACACCTCCAGCAAGCAGGAGATGGGGAACTACTAAAATACGTGAGCACAGCCCTGGAATGACCCTGTTGGAGGGCTGGGTTTGGGTCTGCAGCAGCACAGACCCCCTCAGCAGTGTGGGTCCCTCCCCAGGCAGCTCCTTCCTGCTGCAGGGCTGGGTCCCCTCCTCACCCCAGAGCCCTCAGTGACACCACAGTGACAATTAATGGCACTTTGGGCCCAAGGCTCCTTCCCTGCCACCACAGCCAGCCCTGCTTGGGCCTCCAGCTGGAATCAGCAGGCACAGATGATGGGAGCACTGGGGGGTGTGCTCCAGGTGCCTCTGCCACTGCTCCTTCCAGGCAGGAAGGGAAGGGGCCAGGGTGGCACAGCCCCCTTGCAGGGATGATGTTGGATGAATTTCAGAGCAGCAGAAGTGACTGAGGTGCTGCAGCTCAGCTGCTGAACCCCTTTCCTCTGCCCAGGCAGCACCCACTGCTCTGGTCACACCCAGTTCTGGAGAGGCTGCCAAGGCCACATTCCCACATTTTCGGGACAGGGCTGTGGCAGGCCCAGGCTCCACTCACCTCCTGCGTCGACTCCTTCTCCTTCTGGAACTGGTGCCTCTCCTGACTCAGCTTGTCCCCCATCTTCCTCTTTTTCTCCTGCTCCTCTGTGAGCTGCACAGTGAGGTCCTCGATCTCATCCAGCAGCTTCTGCTTCTCCTGCAAGGACACGAGGAGCCGCAGTGAGAGGCCCGGCTCGGCGCTGGCTCCGCAGGGAACGCTCCTCTCCTGGCGCCTGAGGAGGCTCTGCCTGCTGGGATCTCATCTGCTCAGGGTGCCAGGGCTTGGGGCTTTGGCAGCACTGAGGGAGGCAGAAAGGGATGGCTCCAGAGTGAATCCACAGGAATATCCATGCTCGTGCTGTTTTCTGGGAAGCACGGTGCTGGCGTGGGATGGGCTGGGAGGGACCGGGGCCAGCACGGCGGCTCCAGGCCAAGGAGACATTAAATCATAAAGCTCCTTATGTCTGGGTTTCAGAAAACTCCTGAATCTGAGGTCTCTACCCCCACTCTTGGTTTCAGATGTGAAAGGTTTTAATTGAGGACTGATCCAAGAAGGAATAAACAGTTCAAGCTGGGGTGTAAAACACAAAGCCCAGCTCTGTTCCCTTCTCCTCCCCAGTGTTTGGGATGCAGGTGAGGATGCCAACAGCCCCTAGAGCAGCACCTTCTGCCTGTGACCAGCTCACCACCCCCTTGCTGGGCCCACAGCTCCCAGTCCCATGGGAAAGGATTTGGCTTTCAGAACTCCACAAATGTCACAAGCCCCTCTCCAGTGCTGGTGATGGATGGCCCTGGCAGGGCTGAGGAGGCTCCACGGGGAGCTCCAGATGCTGGCTCGGGGCTGTCCTGCTCCACAGAGCAGCACCAAAGGCACCACAGCAGCAGGAAAGGCAACACTGGACAAAATCCTGATTTTTGGGCACTGGACAGGAGAGCAGCTCCTCAGCCCTGCTTCTCCTGGGCAGAGAGGGGCAGTGACTGCACCTCTTGCTCCTCCTTCACCCCATTCACTGTGGAGAGGAGAACATGGATCAAAACCAACTTCCCATGGCTGAAACACACCAAGGCAGGGAATTTATCCTCAGAGCCATGGGAGTTTTCCTGCCCCCAGCCTCAGCTGTGCTCACCAGGTCCTGGCAGATGCAGACCACCTCAGGAGGGATGGAGCTGCAGCACTCTCCCGTGGGATTAAATGTGAATAAAGTGCCTCAGGCTCTTCAGCTGGGTAAGGAGGTTTGATTTCAGTTCAGTTTTAACTTTAATTCTGCCCCAAGCTCAGCAGAGACAAAATGCAGCCCCTGTTTCAGGTGTCCCACTGTAACCCACACTATCCCTAAAGATGAGGCTCTTGCCCATCCCCAGGAGCCTGGGGAAGCCCCCGGCCCTGCACGGCCTCGGATCCTGAGCAGGGTGACAGTGAGAGGGGCTGGGAGGTGACACAGGTCTTTGAAAACTCAACTCACAAATCCCAGGACATGGAGATGGAGCATCCCTGCTCCTCCTCCTCCCCTGCACTGGACTGGCCACAGGGATGGGGACAGGGATGGGGATGAGCTTCCACAAGAGGGCACGAGTCCCTTCCCGAGCAGCCACTGCCACACAGATTTAGCAGGGCTTTATTCCCAGCTTCCAGGCTGAACAGTGGGAAACTGCAAGGATAAATGTGTGGGATTGTGCTGCCCAAAGTGGGGTCTGCAGCGACTGGAAAGTGGAAGCAACTGGTTTGTTACATTAAATGGATCTCATGTTCATGAAAATTCATCCCAAGCCAGAATTTCATCCCAAAACCTGGAACCTCCTGGCCTCACCTCCTCAAGCCTCTCGATGTTGGCTCTCAGACAGGGGACACAGGACCTCAGCTCACTGTTCTCATCATCCAGCTGCTGCAGCCTGCAAAGGGAATGGGTGTGAGACTCGTCCCAGCATCCCACACTGGGGAGAAACAGCCCCAGGAATATTAAACCAAAGGGAAGCCAGCAGGGATTCATCTGTTCGAGGCAGAGCCTGAGATATTTCTGCTGCCAGGGGAAAGAGAGGGGCATCCACACAATCCTGACATCCATCAGGTCCAGTGCTATTCCTTGTTCCAAGGGCTTTTTCAGACCCTGGACAAGCCTCAGCAGCAGAGACAACAGAACAGGGGATCAGAGAATGTCTTTGCATTCCCAGGTAAAACCCCACTGTCTTCATCTTCCATGGACTGCAAGGGATGAACTACAGCAAAACATTCTGGGAAAGCTGGAAAATGCTGTCAAATAACTGACACCTCTCCCACCCCACTTCTTCCTTTGGAATGCAACAGGCAGCACAAAGCACCCTGGCTGGGACACTCTTCCTTTTGGAAGATTCTTCTTTCCCAGGTATTTGCCTGTTTCCATCAAGGTGGAAAACATTTGGGCATTAAAAGAGATCATTTATAGGAAAAGGGATTGACAAATCCCCTCTCCATCCCCATGCTGCAGGGCAGGCACATGGATAAAGGATGGGAGCTAAACTTAAAATGCATCAGAGCAGCTCAAATAAAGAATCTAATATTAGGTCTGTGGGCCAAAGGTGCAAATAACCAAAACTCAGGGTTTGTGGTGACTTTAGTCACACCTTGAACCTGCCTGCCTCCCTGTGTCCCCCCCAGGCTGCCTGTGCACAGATTGGCTCCAGGAGAGCTCCCAGCCCCACCTGGCCTGCAGGTTCTCGATCTCAATGCTCTTCTCCCTCTCCATTTTGCTGAGCAGCTCCCTCTGCTTCTTGATCTCCTCCAGCAGGGTCTGGTCAGCCCTCAGCTCCTGCTCCTTCAGCTGCTCCTCGAGCGCGTTTGCTCTGCAGACAGGAGAAAGGGAGGATTAAACTTCCCTTAGGCCCCTGGAGCTGCCATCCCAAGGGAGGGACCAGATTCTCTTCTCTTCCCAGTCCCTTTCCCACCCCTCAGGTGAGCTGGGAGAAGCAGATGGTAAAACAAAACAAGTTTCCAGGGAAAACACACCAATCACCATCCCCAAGTGCATCCCAGCAGGAGAAGCAGCACCTTTTCCATCAAAGGCTTCCCAAGTCAGACACCTTAAGGAACACAAGCATGATAATAATTTTACAGCCTGGGAGAGAAGTTCATTTTAAATTATTTTTAAATGTCTTCTATGCATTAGAGTTATTTCTAAGTGCAGCCACATACATCTCTTAATGGGAATCTCAGAGTCACTGAGGCTGGAAAAGACCTTTAAGAACACCTAATCCAAATGTGAATCCCAGAGTTGTGGTCCCACCTGCAGTAGCCATGGCAGAGAAATCCTCCTTCAGCTGTTTCCAGCATGAAGTGGTCTCATCACTCAGAGAAAAGGCAACAGCCTCAAATCTTCCTTTCACTTTCTTGAGATCCCAACAAGAAACAAGGGGTCTGCAGGTCACCCTTCCCTGTGTGTCAGCAGAACTGCAGATCACAGAATCCCACAATGGCTTGGGCTGGAAGGGACCTTAAAGCTCATCCCATTCCACCCCCCACCATGGGCAGGGATACCTTCCCCTATTCCAGGCTGCTCCAAGCCCTGTCCAGTTTGGCCTTGGACACTTGCAGGGATCCAGAGACAGCCACAGCTTCTCTGGGCACCCTGTGCCAGGGCCTGCCCACCCTCCCAGGGAACAATTCCTGCCCAATATCCCATCTATCCCTGCCCTCTGGCAGTGGGAGCCATTCCCTGTGTCTTGTCCCTCCATCCCTTGTCCCAAGTCCCTCTGCAGCTCTCCTGGAGCCCCTTTAGGCCCTGGAAGAGGCTCTGAGGTGTCCCTGGAGCCTTCTCCTCTCCCAGCAGTTCCAGGGATGGGGCTGGGAGATGGAATTTATGCAATGGCTTTGCCCAGGGGAAGGCTTTTCCCAGCTGCTCCCAGCACTGAGCTCACCCAGAGCCAGCTGACAGCTCCAGGCCAAGCTGCTGAAGTGAAAACATTTCCCTCTCTCCCAAGTTTATCAGGGCTTAGGGAAACCTTTGTTTGAGTGGCTCAGTTCCCTGCCATGGCTGTTACTTAACAGAATTACAGCCCTATAGATAAACTGTGCTGGGTTTATCTGCCCAGGGTAAAGATATGCTGGGAGAGAGGAGCCTGGCAGATTAGCACACACAGGGATTACATCATGTGGGATCCAAAGGGCTGCAGCCCAGCCAGGATCCAGCAGGAGGCAAACCTTGGAGCTCCAGAGACCATTTGAAAGGGGCTTATGGGGCAGGAAAATAAATATAAATATATATTTAATAAATTTATATATTTAATATATATTTAATATATATTTAATATATATTTAATATATAAATATATAGTAAATATAAAAAGAAATATCAATATCTCTATATATATATATAGAGAGAGAGAAAATATATATCTGTCTCTATATATTGATATATATTTCAATATCTATATCTATATCTATATATATCTCAATATATATATCTATATACATGAAAGGCAAGAACCAGAGTTCCAGAGACCTTTTGGGAGGGACACATGGAGCAGGGAAGCACATCAACAAGAATTAAAATAAATACAGATCCACAGATCATGGATTCCAACTCCTGGCCCTGCACAGACACCCCAACAAACCCACCCTGTCCATCCCTGGCAGCGCTGTCCAAACACTCCTGGAGCTCTGGCAGCCTCGGGGCTGTGCCCATTCCCTGGAGAGCCTGGGCAGTGCCAGCACCTCTGGGGGAAGAACCTTTCCCTGACACAGCTCCAGCAATTAAAAGCTGTATGTAAAAATCACTAAAGGCCAATTCCTGGAGCTCCAGAGAACTTAAGCACATAAAATATAAAATCTCTGTGTCACTGTGTCCTGTTCTCAGCTGGGATGGAGTCAATATCCCTGGTAAGGGCTGTGGTTTGGATTTGGGAAGGGGCTGGAGCCCGTGGAAGGGAAAGGCTCCCAGGTGAGGCTCCTACCTGTGCACCAGCTGCAGGTTCTCCTGCCGGAGGCGGCTGTGCTGCTCCCCGTTGGCAGCCGTGTCCTTCTCCAGCTCTGTCACCCGCTTCTCCAGGAACACCACCTGCCAGCAGGGACACAGATCAGCCTCTGGGCATCCCCAATCCCACAGCAGCTCCCACATCATCCCCAAACAAGGAGGGTTCCCACTGGAATTGGGCAGTCGTGCCTTGATTTAAAACATCCTTTTCCACCCCGGTTTCCTGGGGTTTGATGGCTCCCAGGTACCAGTTTGGGGCCAAACACTTCACTCTTTCCTTCCTTCAACCCCTTCCTGATGACATCCTAGAAGGAGTCTAGAGGGAGAGATCCTGCTGGATCTCCAGAGCTGGAACAGGATGGAAGCCCTGGATTTACAGATGGAGGGATCAATGCCAGCTGCTGGGGAAGGAGCAGAGGTGAGGATTTTCTCCCTGTCCCTGTACCGGGTTTATTCCAGCTGTATCTCCATTTAATTAATTCAAATTCATTCAAATTCCATAAACAATCTTGGGGGAGAAGAAAAACAATCATGGTTCTGGGAGAAGGGCAGGAGACATGGGAATATTAAAGAGGCCATGCACACAAGGCCTTTCCCAGCAGTGCCTTTTCCATCAAAAGTTTCCCAAGTCAAACGCCTTAGGGAACCCAATTATTTTATTCAACTTCCAGCCTTGGAAAAATATTGATTTTTATTTATTTTTTAAAGGTCTTCCCTGCATTATAATTATTTCCAAGTGCAGCCACACACATACACATTTCTCTTTCACACACAGCTCCTCAGTACATTGATATCCCAGAGCTAAAAAGCCATTCCCAAAGAGTTTCAGGACTTCAGTAGACATTTATACAATCTTAGCTTCTTCTCCATGTTTTTTAACTAGGGATACTCAAACAAAATCTTTCCTGTGCTCCCATCTTATCCTACAACTCTTTCCTTGTAACACCCCAGGAAAACCCATCAGCACCAGCACAAAATCAGCTCTGCCCTGACAGCACGAGCGGAGTGTGCCAAGGAGAGAAGTTCCTGTTTCACACTGGGTGGGTTGCCTCAGAAAAACAGAACCTGAGAATATTTTCTTGTGTGAAGGAGAAGTGAAAATGCTGCCTGTGAACAGCCCATTCCTCCTCCCAGCACTCTGGGGAAAGCCACTGCCCCCAAAGAAGGATCCAGTGTCACATCCTGACCCTGCCCAGCACATGGAGTGCTCTCCTCCTCCATCCCCTCCCTGGGGAGGGCTTCCCACGCCCCACCTGCACCCACAGAGAGGAGCTTCAGCCTGATCCTGCCTGGAGCACTGCAAGGCACTGAATCCTGCAGGGAACACAGCACCTCTCCCATAATCCTGACCCCATAATCCTTCCCTCAACATCTCTGCAGAGCTCAGCAGCACGAATCAGCCTGATCCCCACGGCACAGCTGAGCTTTTGGCACAGGAGGGAAGGGGCCCTCACCTTGTCCGTGATGTCCTCGTCCGTGCACTCCAGGTTCTCCCGGTAGGATTCCTCCATCACCCCCACGGCCAACGAGCTCGTCTGGTGCAGCTGCCTGAAACAGAGACAAACCACCCCGACCCACAGCAGCACCGGCATCAGCGCCAGCACCGGCACCATGGCACCACCTCCCGCCCTCCTCAGCCTCTCCAAAGGGATTTATCAGCACTGCCCTGGAATGCTGGATGTGCCCCTCACCACGGAGTTCTCCAGGGAAAGCCAGCCCCTGGCAGTGCCCGCGGGGCAGACGTGGACACGCTCCCGGGACTTCACACCGGGATCATTGCTCTTGCTCTTTGGAATGGGAAGAGATAAGAGCTCTCTCTTCCCACTTTCTTTCCTCAGCACCTTATCCTTTGCTGGATAATCCCAAGGTGTGGATTATGCAGCAAAGGCCAGAGTACTCCCAGTGTGATAAGGCTGGGAAGAAGTGTGGGTGTAAGGGGAGGGAGGGGACAAACCCCCTGAGGCTGCTGTGACCCCCCAGCCCAGGCTGAGCTAATCATTAACCTCGGGACAGCGGTGTCCTCAGCTTTGTGACGAGCTAAAGGACACCCTGGGGAGCCACCCCTCGGCAGGGCTGGGAATCTGCTCTGGAGAGAGGGCTGTGTTCCAGCCCTGGGACCCCAGGAAGGAGGAGAACACTCTGCTCTCCTGCTTTGAGCAGGGGATGGATGACAAAACCACAGAGGTCTCTTTAAACCTCAGTTTTTCTTAGGAATTTGTACCATTGGCTCTCAGATTCCTCCCACTACACAGTGTGTTCATGCCAGGACTCACTAAGCACAACTGGCATTTACCAAGAGACCACAGCCTGATTTTGCATCCTCACCCTCAGTTTATATTTAGATTTTAAAGTCTCAGGCACATTTGTCATTTAAATTGTGCCAAGCACAACAGGGCTTAAGCAGCTGAGATTTCTTGGCACGAGCAGAACCAGGATAACAAAAATGAGGAAAGAGCCTTACCAATCAATTTTCTAAAAGCAAATGTTTTGGGATTATTCACTAATTACAGTATCTGCAACAAAGGATTTGCTCTGGGCTGAGCTTAAGGATTTGGCTCAGCAAAACCCTGTTATCTCCCTCCTTATCACAAACCAAACCTGACTGCTCTTCAGCTAACTAATATCTACCCAAGCCCACACATCCCTGCCTCAGAAAAGCAAAGGGCCAGGAGGTCTCAATCCCCCATAAGACAGGGTGTCTCTGTTCCCAAAAGCTCAACTCAAATCCTCCCAAAATTATCTGCACCAGGCACGGGATAAAAACGAGTCCTAAAACAGGAAACCTGGGGACAGGCTGCTCCCCTCAGCCCTCCTTCCTGCCAGTGTTTTTAACAAAGCTCTAGAAAGTAAGAGGAGTGGAAGTAGGAAATGTAATATCAAGGATCTGCTTCCTTTCCAGGAGGGGGAACCGTGCCAGGGGAGATTGCTGAGTGCAGGAAAAAAGGAGAAGGGAAAGGTGTGAGAGCACAGCAGCAGGAAGAGGTGCAGGGAAGCTGCTTGGGTCAGCACAGGGAGCAGAGGAACAGGAACATTCCCAAACTGAGCTGCTCCACCCCAGTCTCCCTGTCCTGCTGGGAAACCAGCAAGGAGAAATCCAACAAGTGCAGAGGGAATTCTCCCCCCCTGAGCGCGGCAGAGGCAGAACAGTGGACATAAGAGTCAGTTTATCCTTAAAATCATGATGGCACGGGAACAGGAGGAATGGGGGAGCTGGGACAGGAAAGATGAGCACCAGGTGATACTGAGAGGGGTGAGAAGGACCCTCTGCTCCAGAGATCCACAGCAAACTGCCTGGATATATCCAATATATCCAATGCCTGTGCAGCCAGGGATCACAACACCCACCCAGAAAAGGTGACTGACATCACACAAAGTGGTCGTGCAAGACAGAAGCAGCACAGCATTAAACCTGGGCTTAAACCAGGGCTAAACCAGGGTTAAACCATTGAACCAGAGTTACCTGCAGCCCACCCAGAGACCCTGACTGAGCAGGGGGAGCTGCTCCCACAAAGCCAAGTGCTGAGGGTGGCAGAGAGTGAAGTAAAACAGGACCAAGAGCTGTCTAAGGCAGCTGGAAATTTTGGGGTGCTGGAGAACCCCTCCAGGTGAGGGCACTGACTGGTCTGGTCCTGTAGACCTCTACAGACATGGTGATACTGGGAGGGGACATCCCAGAGGGATATGTCCTTCTAGAGACTCCTTCCCTCCTCCATGTGCCCCCTGCTATGGCACCAGCAGCACAGAGTGTGAGGAAAAGCCCCCTCCCCATTTTTCCTGGAAGGAATCAGGTTGCCAGCAGCCTCCAGCTGTGTGCACAAGCAAGAAACCTCCATTCCAGAAAAAAGATACCAGAATTTAAAAATTCTTCTTAAAATTAAACCCACTTTTCCCCTGCACTATGGAGCATATCCAGAAATACAACTCTCCATGCTTATTTTGAGTTTTCTTTCCGCGGATCCGGCAGCTCGCACAGATCAAGCAAACAACAACAGGAGTATGAGCTTACCTTGCCACTTTCTTGCTGGAGAGTCTTTTATTTGGGCTGTGAAATGAAGAAAAAACAGGAAAGAGTTAGAAAAGCTGACAGTGGAGAGCCAGGGAAACAGGAAACTGCATGGACTCCAGGGCACATCCTTTGCTGTGGCAGGGAGCGCCCTTGGCATGCACCCCCAAACCCCTGGAAAGGGCAGGAGAGGGGCCACTCCCGTGGTTAACAGCAAGGAATAACAAAGCTCATGGAATAATGCTGGAGAAGAGCTGGCTGCCCCCTGCCACGCTCTGCTCTCCCGCTGATCCCTGCCTGAAAACCGATCCCCAAGGAAAGAGCTAAGAATAGCAGGGAGGCTGGGGGGGTCCAGCCCGGTGCTGATGGCAGACTGAGCCACATGTCCTGCACCCCACAGCACCCCAGGCTTCCCCTGCCACCCCCAGAGCTCCCACGGGCTGGGCACCAATGGCACATCCATCCTTCTGCCCTTCCCACAGCCGTGATCCCACTGGATCCATCCATCCATCCTTGTGCCCTTCCACAGTCTCACTGCTGGGCTCTGGATCCCCAGGGAAGTGCTGCCTGCTCCTGGCTCAGAGGCTTTAGCAGCTGCTGCTGGTGTCCCTGTGTGGATGTTGCAGTGGCAGGGGAGGGGGATGAGCTCTCTCTCCTCATGGATAACCCACGGAGATCACTCCTTGGATCCACGTCTGAGCCAGCTGCCACCATACCACAGCGGTCAGGGATCAGTGTCACCACAGGATGAGCAGCCAAGGGCTGTGTCACCGTGTCCCACCCCCAGGGGACAGGCTGCAGGCTCTCCCTGCTGAGAAAAAACAGCCTTTTCCAGAACCAGCTCCTTGCTGAGATGCTCCTTCCAATCTTCTGGTCGTGACTGGTGCTGGGGAAGTGGGCAGGGCTTGGATCTCACTCCTCATCTTCCACACATGTTGGTGTCACAAGATGCCACCAGGCCACACCAAATCCTCACTCAGAGATGGCAGCAGGAACAGCTCCAAACCAAGAAGCAACAACTGCATTCCCTGGTGCTTAGCTCCATTTTAGCAAAAATAACAAATAAAATCCTCTGGAAGTCCACTCCTGCCTGTAGCTGCAACATGAGTTCTTCGAAGGAGGGATTAAAAATAGTTTAGGACAATTTGCTTTGTAAGCAACCCCCAAACCTGCCTGGGGGCTGTTGTCAGGGTGAGCAGCCCTCAGGTCAAAGTGCATCCTCAAATCCCACATTTCCAGGGAGCACAAGAGCCGCTGTTGGCTGGACTTCAAGGCTGCTCAGCGCCCAAGGGGAGGAGGTCAGGCCCTGCTGTTTGCCAGGAACTGCAAGGAATGGCCCCAGCACTGGGGAGAAAAATATTTTCCTCTGGAAAAATCTCCTGGGGAAGTGACAGCACCTGCAGTGTCCAAAGGCTGAGACACCAGCAAGGGCATTGCAACAAAACAGAGGCACAAACCACTTCATCCCAAACTCCTGGAGGATTCTTCCCTGCTCTCCCATGCTGTGGGCTGGGGAAGCAGCACCCCAATGCTGGGAGCAAGCTCCACAGTTAATTCCAAGGATAAAACACTGTCTGTGTGCTTGCAGTTTTTACAAGTGAGGCTGTTCTGGGGTGCTTTGTGTTCATCCCAGCTGCCAGAATCCCCTGGAGAAGGTGTCTTCAGGCTTGTCCCAGATTTTGGTCCAGTTCCTGCTGCTCTGGGACTTGTTCCCAGCTCCGAGGGCCTCACGTCAGTGGTGATGCAGAGAGGAGCAGCAGGTCCTGCAGGTCCCACCTCCCATCCACAGCACACCAAGAGAGGCCACTGCCCCTTCCATAAAAGCCCTAGGAACATATTCCCAGTAAATTTGTACTTGGGGAAACCCTGAACACAGATGGAGAGATTGCACCTACTCACAGGGCAAACCAAAACCTATGGGATTCCCACCATGACCATGGGACAGAGAAGCTCCACAGCAAATCCCACCCATCACAGGAGGCTCTGAGGTGTTCCTTCAGCTTTGCAGGTAGATGTGGTGGAGAAAACCTGGAATGGAGTGGGGCTTCCAGGGAAAACCAGTGTTCTCCTTAATACCTGCATAACCTGAGACCCATCACTGACCCCCAAAGTCTCCAACAGCAAAGACAACAATTTAACCAAGAAAAAGAAAGGGAGAGACTTCTGTTTGCATTAAAAATAATTCAGTTCAAGCTCCTATTTGTTTTCCAGTTCTCCTCCCATAGAAAAGCTCCCAGATAACACTGTGCCTGCAAAGGACAGACAGAGATCAAGAACGTGACCAAAAACCAGATCTGAACAGCCACAGCAGCCATGAGAATAAAGATTTATCACCAGTGGCACCATCCTTCCACCCAGAGGGCTGCAACCAGCTCTGAATGAACAAATCAACAGGAAGAAATCCATGCCCACTTGTCAGACAACACATCCAGCTGCTGCCTGGGCGACCTCCAAAATGCCATTCAGAATCTCCAGACGTTCCTGGGGTCTGTCACATCTCCCCAGCCCATGGTGACACCGGGGTGGGCAGGCTGTGGGTAAAGCTGGGTGAGATTTTACTGCTCCCAAGCCCTGTGGAGCAGGCTGATTCTTCCAGGTTGTTCCTGCAGCAGGACCAGGGACTGTCCCTGCCCTTCCACACCATTCCCAGTCTTTCCTCGGTGACAGAAATACTGTACACGGCCAGCTGGAACCCACCATGCACAGGCATGCAAAGGGCAGGGAATGCTCTCCTTGTCTGCCAGCCCCCATTAAAGGCACCTCCTCCTGCTCACCCTCCACCAGCTCAGCAGCACCTGGAGCACCTGCAGAGGCTCCCTGGTAAAACTCATCCCCTTTCCCCACCCGCACGGAGAGAGGGAAAAGCCGCGCCAGGCAAGGAGAGCGTTCCCAGGCAGAACATCATCCTGAGGTGGCCACACACACGAGCCCCGTTACCTATTCATTTCAAGATCATTCAGACGAGCAGAAAGATCCTCGAGGCGGTTGATTTGTTTGTGGCACTGGCTACAGTAAAACTCAAAAGCTTCATCTGCGAGAATGCTGTGCAGTTTCGCAGCGAGCGGATCGGTGCTAGAGAGATCACAAGGGTCATGTCAACAGCACAGAACGCACAGGGAGAGGCTGCAGCCGTGGCTTCCACAAGCTGAGGGTCCCTCAAGGTAAGGGAATTTTTGGTGGGAGGTAAGAAATTTGAATGAAAAAGTCAGGGCAGGTTGGGCCGCCTCCCACCATGATTTTCGAAGCCAAATTAAAGCCAATATGGGGTTGTATATAATAATATATAGATAATTTCTAATTTAGAATAGTTTATAACAATACGTAGCTAATTGATAATTTGTAATTGCCCAATAGAATTTATATAGTTGATAATTAACAACACTTCCATCACCCTCCTCCCAGAGACTCCCAGCAGCTGAGCTTGGCCCACATTTCCAAACCCCTGAGCCAATCTCAATCCCCAAGAGCCCAGGGCAGGTGAGGTAAGTGCTTCCCACAAACCTACTGCAAAGTTTATTTTCCAGCAGGATATTCCAGGCACTTTGTCTCAGGAGGCTCCTGGTTTGCCTCAGTAAGTGCAAAATGAACTTGCACTCTGCAGGACTGGGTGCTGTGAGCCAGGGATGAATCTAAGGGAGTTTTAGGCTGGATTGTAGGAAAAGGTTCTCCCCCAGAGGTGCTGGCGCTGCCCAGGCTCCCCAGGGAATGGGCACAGCCCCGAGGCTGCCAGAGCTCCAGGAGTGTTTGGATAACACTCCCAGGTATGCCCAGGGTGGGGTTGTTGGGGGTCTGTGCAGGGCCAGGAGCTGGACTGGATGATCCCTGTGGGTCTATTCCCACTCAGGATTTTGTGGGATTCTATGATCCTTCAGTCAGTGTCCCACTTTCCACTGGGATGTTTTAAAAGTAGAGCAGCTGTGCTGCTGCAGACCCACCTTAGTAATGCACAGAGTCAGATTTTCACTGCAAAAAGCTTTTAAGCCAAGATGAAATGGATGGGTGCAGTTTAACCCCTCTCTCCTCCAAAGCAAATCCCACAGGAGCCAAGCAGCAGTGCTGTGCTCCTGCAGGGAATGGGGAAAGGGAATTTGGGAAGGGACATGGGGGTCTGTGGGACTTGCACAGCTTGGGAAGCTGGGAGACACTTCCTCATGATTTGGGCAGGACACAGGGGATTCTGAACAGCAAATGGTTTGTGTTAATTTGGGACCAGACTCCACAAATCCCTCCTGTAAGAAAATGCGCTTCTGGAAGCCACGGACGTGAATCAAAGGAAGGTTAAATAGTGAAAAACCCAAGCAGTTCAGTAGAAGAGACAGGTAAAGGTGTGAGCAAACACAAGCAAGATAAACCCAGCAGGCACCTGGAAGGGGCAGTGAATCCCAGGATACAGAACCCAGCAACTCCTGGCCCGGGGTGAGCGCAGGGCTGGGACATCCCGAGGCTCAGCCCCCAGCCCAGGGTCAGGCCTGGAGTCTCTGCTGTCTGTACAGTATTTCCCAGCCCCCTCAGACAGGCTGGACACCAGCAAATTCCAAATTCTCATCTCTTCCCATTCCTGGGAAAAAAGTTCAATTGAAAACCATTCCCTCTTCCTCTCAGGGCAGGTCTGGCCCCGGGATACCCTTTTCCCAGCATCAGACAGGTCGGTGGCTCAGGGTTTGTGCAGGGAAGAGGCGACAGCAGCTCTGTGGCACCTGGGGGAAGGTGCACTCTCTTCTGGGTGCTCTTGGGTGCATTCCCTTCCCAGGTGCTGCAGCCTGGCCCAGGTGGGAACCCAAATTTAACCAACATTAATCAAAACAAGAAGAGAAGTGTGGAAGAGAAGCCCCAGGGCAGCCTGGCAGCTCCTGGGGTGTGTGCAGATCCTCCTGGCCTCCGGCTGCCCTGGCTCCCTGCCCGTGGAGTGGGTGAGAGCTCAGCCCTGGGGTGCCCCCACCCACTCCAGGAACCTGATGGGTCCCTTCCAGCTCAGCAGATTCTGTGGTTCTACAATACAGAGTTTTCCTGTGCATCCCTCCATCTCCTGGAACAGCGTTTGTCTTCCACAGGTCCTCGGTGCTGCCTGGTGGCCGGGATGGGCACAAGGAGCTTTTCCCTTTATTTCCCACCAGGAGCTGCAAAGAGGCTTTTCCTACCAGATGGGTATCCAAGGGTAGACTCAAACACACTAGGACTGGGCAGGGAAGCACCACACCCCACATTGTTCCCTGAAGGCTCCTGGGGTTTGTGTTCATCTTCTGGAGCTGTGGCAGGAGAATTTCTAGAAATTATTCCCATTTAGGGACTCCTGCAGCATGGAAAGGGTCTGTGGTTTTGTGGCCCTTTACAAGCGATGCTGCTCTTTGTATTCAAAATGCAGCCAAAAAACCCATCTAACCTGAACCAGGGCCTGTGGTCCCTTCAGGTGTCTTTAAACACACTGGGGGTGCTCAGGCATGGAATAATTTGGGTGGGAAGGACATTAGAGCTCATCCCATTCTACCCCCCACCATGGGCTGGGACACCTTTCACCATCCCAGGCTGCTCCAAGCCCCATCCAGCCTGGCCTTGGACACTTCCAGGGATCCAGGGGCAGCCACAGCTTCTCTGGGCACCCTGTGCCAGGGCCTGCCCACCCTCCCAGGGAACAATTCCTTCCCAATATCCCATCCATCCCTGCCCTCTGGCAGTGGGAAGCCATTCCCTGTGTCCTGTTCCTTCCTACCCAAAGTCAGAACTGCACAAGACTCAGGGAATGTTTAGGGAAGAACTTCACACACACAGCAATAATCCAAGGGGAGGCTAGACCTGAGAGGCATGAGGAAATCCTCCAGCTCCAACAGCCCCACATTCCTGACTCCAGAGGTTTTGCAGGGTTTATCTCCAGCCTGCCTCCCCAGCAAGCCCCAGCAGAGAGTCTCCAGCACAAACCACCACAACCTGTGTGGCCACGTGCCCAGCGAGCCCCTCCCAACATGGGGAAGATGGGATAAGGTGTGGATCAGATCCAGAGACGGAGCAGAGCAGAGATGGTGCCCTGGCAGAGCAAGACTGGAGCACTGGGAGCGTGGGCAAAAAGTGATTAAGTGATTGAAAAGCTCCTTTAGCTGGGTATTTTCTTGCCAGGAGCCTTCTGGATGAGGCTGGCAGCTCATCCTCGAGGACAAACGAACACCAAAGCTGGGTTTTAATCAGAGAACTCTTCCTGTGCCACAGCACCAGCACAGCCCTGCACAGAGCAGGCCAAGGACAAGCACGGATCAGAGACTGTGCCCTTCCCACCACAGTGCTGGAGCACTGCTTTCCTAAAGGAAAAGGTTGGAATTCTCTACAGCAACGCTCCTATTTGTGACTGACACCTCCAACATTGCTGCTGCACCAGCCAAAAAGAAATGAGCCCTGACCTGCTCTTCCCTGCCAGCCCTGTGCAACCAGAATCATCCAAACTCAGTGAAGGCATTTGGGAAGCTGGGAGAAATGGGGAAGACAGGAAAAAACCAGAAGTTTTGAGAACTTTACACAGCTGCAAAAAGGCAGAAATGTGTGATTCCAAAGAGGAAGAAGTATATTTTTTTTTATTCTTTAACATGGGTGTGTGGCTGGCAGGGATCACTGCTGCCCTGTATTTCCAATGAAGGAACACATCCCTGGTGTTACCTGTCATCCCAGACACTTTATGAGCTGCAGCACTGGATGATATTCCAGCTTTCACTTCTTTTCTTTAGAAAGGGAAATTATTGGTGGGGTTTGTACCACCATAGCAGCTCCTCAGCCCACCCTGCTCAGGCTGGAAAATGGACTTTTTCCTGGTTTCAGACCCTAAAGCAAGGAGGAAATGCTACAGCCTGCTTCCTGCTCTACCTAGCCCTAGAGAAGGAATGCTGCTGCAGCTCGTGCAAATCCAACCAAACATTGCATCAAAGCCCAAAATAATGAAAGAGAAAAAAAAGTAAGAGTCATCCTGCAGGATCAGGGGTAAAGCTGCAGGTGGTTTTCTCTCCTGGAAGGTTCTGTGAAGAGCCACATCCCTAACAGGAGTGGGAATGTGACACTGGAAATGCAGACAGCTCTTCCACCTCCTGCTGGGTGTCAGCAGGACAGGCATTGACCAGGGAGAGGAAACACTGGGGGCAGGAATTCCTCTCCCACTTCCAAGCTGATTATCCCGTTGTACCCAGAGTTTGCCAGGCCCCCCTGGCTGACAAATCCCCTGTCCCACAGAGCAGAGTGAAGGCACTGAGCGACTGCCCCTGCTGAAGCAGCACCAGGGCTGGGCATTACCTGGGAGAGAGGAAGGAGGAGCTGCCAAAGCTGCTTTCCCCATTACACAGAGGGTCTGGGAACAGATCGGCCTCATTCCCTTCCCCGTAATCCTCGAAATGCTCCTCCCCGCTGATGACGGTGACGATGGAGTGGCTGAGCTCGGAGCCCAGGGCCAGCTCGTGGGGATGGGATCTGTGGGAACAGACAGGGACATGTTAGAAGGGAGGTGCCACAGCAGCTTTCCATTGCATCCAGGACATCCTCTTCCCAGCAGGATTGGGTTTGTGAGGTCAGGACTCGGTAAGGGAGTGGTGGATTCTGTGAGAAGCTGCTGGAAGCTTCCCCCACGTCCAGCACAGCCCATCCCTGGCAGCTCCATGATGGACCTGCTGCTGGCTGAGGTTGGGCCCACCAGGAATGGTGGTGGCACCTCTGGGATAGCAAATTTGAGAAGGAAAACACAAAAAAGTGATGGGGCAGCTGAACTGAGAGCAGAGAAGAGTGGGGTGAGAACACTGGAGAGGAACAGCTCTGCAGGGCAGGGCACGACAGGGGCAAGAGCTGCTCTGGGCACCAGAGCTGAGGTGACCCTGAGATTCCTGGGATGACCCTGAGATTCTTGGGATGACCCTGAGATTCTGTGGGGAAGCCCATGGGGAGGCAGCTGTGTCCCAGCAGCCCATGGAGGGCAGGGAGGGGCAGAGATGTACCTGCAGCCCCTGGAGGAGCCCAGGCCTGGAGCAGGGGGTGCCTGAGAGGGGCTGGGAGCCCATGGGCAGCTGTGCTGGGACAGGGTCCTGGCAGGGACCTGTGGATCCATGGAGAGAGGAGCCCATGCTAGAGCAGGGTCCTGGATGGATTTGTGACCCTGTGGGGACCCAGGCTGTGTCTGAAGGACTGAGCCCATGGAGGAGTGACACACGGGGCAGCAGCTCCAGGGGATGGGCTCAGGTTGGAGAGGTCCATGGAGAGCTCCCTCCTGTGCAAGGGACCCCACACTGGGGCAGGGGAGTGCCCTGCCTCCTCTTCCTGAGCAGTGGAATCAGTGGGATCATAAATCCCACTCCCATCTCCCTGTGCCACCATGGGGAGGGAGGGGGAACTGGGGAAGAGGGATGATGGGGAGTGAAGGTGTTTTTAAGGTCTGATTTTACTTCTCATTACCCTGCTCTGATCTTGTCAGTAATAAATTCAATTAATATGCCCAGTTTGAGTCTGTTTTGCCCATGGTGGTATTTGATGAGTGATTTCTCCCGGTTCCTATCTCAGCTCATGAACCCTTTGTTGTATTTTCTTTTCCTGTCCATCTCTGGAGGGCAGGGATGGAGCAGCTTTGGTGGGTTCCTGGTGCCCAGCCAGGGTCATCCCACCCCACCAAGTTAGTGATGTGTCCCATTTTGGCAGAGCAGGACAGGACAGAAACAGCCCAGGCACCACTGGGAAGTTTATGGTGATTTTTTTCCCCCAATAAACCAATTTTTTCCATTGGCAGCTGCAACAGAGGATTTGGGGGCACTCAAGACTTGCAGGACAGTGCCTGGGGTTGGTGACAAGTCCTTGCTGGACTAAAAGCATGGCAGAGAAAGAGCTGGGCATGTCCCAGGCACATCCTGAATGCTGAGTTCCACAGCAGCCTGTGCCAGGCTTGTTCCTGCCTAATCCTCTCAAGGGCCTGGGCTTGAACCCCATAAGCCCAGGGGGATTGGTGTTGGGGAGGGGTGGGCTCAGGATGCTGGCACAGAACCCCAGCAAGACAAAGGAGCCCTTTCCCTGCTCCTGCTGGGAAAAGGCTGTGTGTGACAATCCTGGAGTGGGGAATGCTGCTCCATGTGTTTTTAACACCAGATCCAGAAGGCTGCAGCGTGTTTAGCCTCGATGCAAATCCTGAACACACCAGCACAGATCCTGGGGTGTCCCTCACTCCTGAGGGGACACAGCTCAGCACAGAGTCATTGTCCCTGGAAAAGTCTTTCCATTGAATGGAGCCTCACAATCCTGGAATGGTTTGGGCTGGAAGGACCTCAAAGCTCATCTCATTCCACCCCTGCCATGGCAGGGACACCTTCCACTGTCCCAGGATGCTCCAAACCCCATCCAGCCTGGCCTTGGACACTTGCAGGGATCCAGGGGCAGCCACAGCTTCTCTGGGCACCCTGTGCCAGGGCCTCAGCACCAAGCCAAGGTCCCTTTCCTGCCCAGGACTATGGAAGTTTTCAAATTAAGCTGCAGAAAAGGCAGGAGGGATTTGCAACAACTGGGCTGTGAAAGTGGCCACGGGGCTGTGAGCCACAGGTCTGTGTTTTGGGGGGTTTAACACTCTACTCTCCAAAATTCTACACTAAAGTCATAATAATATTGCATTATTACAGAAATTGGTATTGGCTATGACCTTATCTCCATGCACTTGCTAGGAGAGGGAAATGGTATATGAGCAGATTGCTGGACTAAACCATAAAAAAAAAATAAAAGATTATAGATAAGCCATTTATGACAAAAACCTGCTCCATCTGAAGGATTTGCCCTTATCCTGCTAATAAAAACATGTCAACCCTCCAGATCTCTATTTATCCACAAATAAATCCAGCCCAGCTTGTGGGCATCTGCACATCCTCCTCGTGCCCTTGAGAAGCACCAACATTCCACAGTGGGATCCACCAGAACCCATCCATCCCTGTGGTGAGTCAGATCCTCACCAAAAGCAGCGGAAATCTCTCCAGGAATAGAAGCCAGGGGGTGGAATTGTTAATTGAGAAGCAAAACCCAAGCCCAGAACTCTAAATCTGTGGCTGTGGTTTGATAAGCACTGTTCAGAAGCAGATCTGATCAGGCACCTGGAAAACCTCAGCCTGGATGCTTCGGGCAGTAAATTTTATTTCCTATTCCCATCCTGAGGCTCAGGCAGTTTCAGGATCCAAAGTCCAATTAATCATTACTACACACAGCCTAAACAATCTTTAAGCTCAAACCATTTCAGGTATGTGGAGCTCTGAGAGCTCCTGAAGTGATGCTGAAGCTCTGATTCAGCCCAGCAGCTGCACTGGGGGGACTGTAATTCCCTGGATATTCCTGGGCACCAGAGGTGTCCTCCTGTGTGGGGTCTGATGGTACCAAAACCAGCCCTCAGCACTCCCAGAGGTTCCCATTTCAAACCTTTCAAATCTATAAATCAAATTAAGGTTTTTGCTCCCTGGAATTTCAACACATGTAACAATCTGGGAATAGGGCCCACTGTGCTTTGACAGAGCACCCAAAGGACATCTGATCATCCCAAGCCCACACCTGGGGGAGCAGGGAATCCCACAATGGTTTGGGTTGGAAGGACTTTAAAGCCCATCCAATGCCACCCCCCACCATGGGCAGGGACACCTTCCACTATCCCAGGCTGCTCCAAGCTCTGTCCAACCTGGCCTTGGACACTTGCAGGGATCCAGGGGCAGCCACAGCTTCTCTGGGCACCCTGTGCCAGGGCCTGCCCACCCTCCCAGGGAACAATTCCTTCCCAATATCCCATCCAGCCCTGCCCTCTGGCAGTGGAAGCCATTCCCTGTGTCCTGTCCCTCCATCCCTTGTCCCAGGTCCCTCTGCAGCTCTCCTGGAGCCCCTTTAGGCCCTGCAAGGGGCTCTGAGGTGTCCCTGGAGCCTTCTCCTCTCCAGGTGAGCACCCCCAGCTCTCCCAGCCTGGCTCCAGAGGGGCTCCAGCCCTTGGGACATCTCTGTGCCCTCCTCTGGACTCTTTCCCTCCTATCCTGCTGACCCCACACTTGGCACACATCAGGACTGAGCAGATCTGGCAAACCCCGTTTCCCAAGGCAGAGTTCTGTACCTACAGGCAGGCGAATCCGAAGCAGGCTGCTTTCCCCAGCGGCCCGGAGCGCAGGCAGGCTGCCATGACCCCTGCAGGGACCCTGTGCTGGTGACAGGAGCTCACAGCTGATTATCTCCCAATTTAACTGTCACCACCACCAGAGCTGAGCTGTGTAATCCCATTTCTGCTCTTATCCACAGCACCCTTTCAGCCCCGGGGCCCAGAGCTGCGAGCTGCCTCTCTCACATCCCCAGATGGGATTTTGGCATGGGAGGGAATCCTGGTGCTCCCAAAAAGAGCTGTAAGCACTCCCTGCAGTACCAACCCAGGGCCTTGTGTTTTGGGATTGAACTCATCCTGTGTGTTACAGATTATTCCAGAGGTTTTGGTGCACACTGATGCTCTTGGGGCACTAACCTGGCACTGGCATGGATTTTCCAGGGAAGCTGCAGCTGCCCCAGTCCTGGATGTGTCCAGGATGGGGCTTGGAGCAATGTGATCTAATGGAAGGTGTCTCTGCCCTTGGCAGAGGGAGGAAAGAGATGAGCTTTAAGGTCTTTTTCAACCCAAACCATTCTGTGATTCTGATCCTAAAGGAGTTTTTCCCTGCCCTCCTGCCTGCCAGCATCCCAGTTTCACCCCAAACCCCACTTTTCCTCCAAAAATGGGGTGGGCCCAGGAGCAGTTTTGCCAGCAGCGGTTCAGACCTGGGGAAGGAGATCTTGGCTCACATTTCTGTGCTCCAGGCAGAGGTTTCAAACCAGTTATTACAGGAGGTGGTTGCACATCAAAGGGCACACGCATGTTTTTAGGGAAAACAAAAATAGAACGAGTTCCCCTCCTGACTGGAAAATTATATGTTGTGTTTCTGGCTTAAGTGATAGATTAAAAACTGCAAGTCTTTCAGGTGTTTGGATCACCTGAGAAGTAATTTTAGAGGTTAAAGATGCTAATGAGGGTACAGAAGATCTCCCAAGGCAAGCAACGATTAACTCAAAGAGATTGCCAGGCCAGGCTCCAAACCAGCCTACACAAACCAGCCTAATTATTCTCGTTATTCCTCCAGAAGAGCTATTTTGGTCTCGCACGTTGTTACAAACACAAAGACCAAACCAAGTTCCAGCAAGACCAACTCGATGTGAAACCCTCAGGCCGTGTCTCCCCCAAACCACCCCGTGTGAGGGGGGTTTCTCTCCTGGCTGCTCCCACTCACCCATGCTCCGGCTCCTCGATGGGATCCGTGAATTCCGAGTGCACGGTGGAGTCGATGGCGCTGTCGGTCTCCACCTCGTCGTGCATCTCGTGCTGGACCAGGGTGCTGGTGTCCTCATCCGTGAAGGTCTCGCACTCGCTGTAGGTGCTCTCCGAGCCCATGTAGGCACTGTCAGTCACCTCATTTGCCTGGTTGAGAAAAAAACGTAAGAAAAGAAAGAATGAGATCCTACAGCTGCGTGGATTCGTGGCACAGCGGGACAGAACATGGATGAGGCAGGGAGTTTTGGCTGAGTTGCATTTCTGAGCGCAGGAATTTCGGCTTCTGGAATCACACCAGCCCCAGGTGCTGCTCTGTGGGCACCATGGGGTGCACCTCAGCCTCTGCAGGGCTCGGGAAGCAGATCACAAAAATAGGGACTAAATAAGAGTTGGAGGGAGGTTTTGTTGTGAGCCAGGATGGATTTGGCCAGGGCAGGAGGGATTACCCACTGCTGACTCAGCAGTTCCCATCACTGCTGCTTTCTCCAGCCCCATTCCAAGAGGACAAGAATCTGAATTCCCTGCAAAAAACACCATTCAAAACTCCCAATTAGCCCTTGGAGCACCTTTTTTTGTTTGCCCAGTCCGGTAAAACCTTCCATCCCTCAACAGCAAATAAACTGTTTCTAAATCTTCATTACAGCTTCTGATTTGCAGGGACTCAAATCTCCACACTTCAGCTGGAGCAGCATCTCAAATCCATCACTGAGCAGGCTCTGGGAAAGCAGCAGGGTTTTAACAGACATGTGATATAAGCAATGAGAAGTGTGTTTTCCTCCCATTTCTGCACACCAGGCAGGTGTTCAGCTTCAGTCCTGCCTGTTTGCTCCTACACCAGGCAGGGACAATCCCTTCTGATCCTGATGTCTGGAGAACCATGGGAGCAGCAGTAGAAACCCCCAAAAGCCAAAGCTCTTGTTACCCCTCACAGTGCCAGCCCCTTTCCTAAGATTTGGGGATTTTCCCAGCGTGCCTCGGAACAAATCAAGGAATTTTGGGATCTGCCAGTGCTGGTGCTGAGCTCCAGCTGATCCCCTGTCACCAGAGGGGTGGGAGCCCTCCTGCCAGGTGAGGAGAACATGGAAAGCCATCTGATCCTCCTGAAGTTCACCTGGTGGGATCCCACGTGCTCAGCTGCTCCTCCAGCAAAACAGCAGCAGTTTGAATGCAAGGCACGACTGAAGGAAATCCTTTTCCTCTGCCAGGGTGCACAGAACAGCTTCCAGGTTTTTTTCCAAGGATTTTGGAGAAAATTATGTTTCTCAGAGCACTGTGTTCATAAAATCATGGAGTGGTTTGGGTTGGAAAGGACTTTAAAGCCCATCATTCCACTCCCTGCCTATTCCACTGTCACAGGTTGCTCCAAGCCCCATCCAGTCTGGCCTTGTACATTTCCAGGAGCAAAAATGGATAGAAAATCTCAAAGGGATGGAGGAGAGAGAGCTGCTAACAGCAATTCCTGCTCCACATAGACACTGGGAGCAGCCAAGTGACTCAGCCCAGCCCTGCTTTGCTCTCCCAGCCCCTGTGCCCACCACACTCAGCAGGATGAAGACAGCCAGGAGTTCCTCTTGGAAACCTGGCTCAGCTTCCACCCAGCTTGTGGACACCAGCACCTCCAGGACACCACCCTGAAGCTAACTGAAGTTCCAGAAAACTCCACTAGGGCAGAGCCTGTGCCAGTGCTGCAGAGAGAAAAAAAAGCCTCTAAAGCCCCCACCCACTTAAAAAAGCATAAATCCACCAAAACCACTTACACACCTAAAGCTGGGACTTGTTTAAGTGCTTTACTGGATTTATGCTGCACTTTCTAGAAACACCATTAATGCTCCAGCAGGTGGGACAAGGGGAAGCAGAGCCTTGACCTGCCTTGGCTTGGTCACAGACAGAGAGAGCCCAAGAGGTGACAGCAGCCACCCCCAGCTGCACATTCCCCTCCCTTCTGCCTGTTTGAAAAGGATTTCATGCCAAACTGGAAAGAATTTTGCTTGCACACTACAAAATAAAGGCTGCTTTATAAATAGCAACTCCCCGCTCTACCACTTCTCATTGGAAAAAACTTAAATTTAAGCATATGTTGAAGTATTATAATGAGCAAATTGAAGTATTATAATAAGTACAGAGTAAAGACAAGTATTGAAAGAAGCCAAAAAACCTCCAAAGACTCCAATTCACAAGTAATTTGATAAAAAACCCTGCTGTGGTTACTGCTGACCCTCTCAACATGAAGCAAACCAGGCGCAGAACAGTGCCCTTAGTCATATGCTGGAACAAGAGGACCTTTAGGGTCCCTTCCAACCCAAACCATTCCATGATTCTGTGATTTCTCTATCAAATCATTCCAAAACACCTTACTGATGGGAAATACATGCATGGACAGGCTGGATTTGGGAGCAACCTTTTTGGAGTAGGAGAACCCACCAGCACAGCACAACAACCATTGTCCTTCAGCCACACCAAAGATGTGCATTGATTAATTGTCTAAAAATTGTATTTTTCCTTTGTGATACCAGCTTAGATGAGGTTTCAAAAGCAGGAGAACCCTATAAAAATTAAACCTGTGTGGACAGTGGACAATGAGTTAAAAAGCAGTTGAAACTGAAAACAAAGTCCTTCTCCTGAGCACGAGCATGGAGAACTTTGCTGCACATTTCACCACAGAATCAGTAACTAAACCTCCAGAAGAGATGCCAAGAGGAGACAGGCAAACCAAGGGGGTTCAGGTATTGCCAAATGCCTGACAGAGCCAAATCTCCGTCCCTGGGCAAGTGTGTGGGTACAGAAAGTTCTTATTTATGGCCTCATGAGCAGCTGGTTTGTGCACTGACCCTTCAAACCCCCCTGCCACAGCTCTCCTTCAGCAACCTTTGCCTTCTTCTGAGCAGAAAGTAAACATTTTTTCCAGCTTAAAAAAAAGCCAAATACACTTAAAAACATCCATGGGCTCAGGACAGCCAGGGTGGGCTACAACCACCCCAGGGGACTCGCCAGGAACATCTCTGCCACATTCAGAGCGGGGTTGGTATCACCAATATCAGAGCATTTAAAGTTTTTATTGAATAAAACACACCCTGAGGTGCTTCAGGCAAACCTCAGACATTAAAACTGGGACTCAGGCACACGCAGAGTTCTGAGCTGGAACAGGATCAGGGTTTGATGGAGGCTCCCAGTCCCAAATCCAGCTGCTCCAGCAGGTATTTCCCCAGAGCCACACCTGGTGACAGGACATGGACCACCTGGAGGCATCTCTGCCTGCTCAGGGAAACTGCAGGTGAGCACTCCTGCTTCTAAAAGGAAATAAATGGTGCAATCAGCACTGGCATGATGCAACGTGCCCTGATGAGACAGGTGAGGTGGTGAGGTGCCTTTAGGAGCCTTCTCCAGCAGCAGCTCATCAATTCCAGGCATCTGATGACATGTGGGAGTAAAGATTACTTAATCAGATGTTGTAAAGTGCTATAAAACCACATGGATTTTTAAAAAGCTGCTGCAGTGCGAGGAGAGGGATTCTTGGGAATCACCTGCAATGTCCAGGCAGGGACAGAAGCTTCAGCACAAACTCTGCCAAGGCGTTGCCTTGGAAAGGAGGGCAAAGTCTGGCTCCCAGGGAGGTTCCTTCCAGGCAGGGCTGTCCCTGGAGCTGTCCTGGCATCTCAGAGCTCTGCTGTCCTTGGACACAAACACTCGGAAGGTTGGGAGGGGAAGTGAGTGACAAGAAAAAGGAAAAACAACTCTGTTTTTCCAGCAGTGTGAGTCTGTTTCTGAGGAATCCAGCCCTGACTGCGCACAGGATGGAGAGGAGATGGATCAGCTACAAAAATCTCCCTCCAAGGACACCCTGAGGTTCAGACAGCAGTGACAGCACCGGGTTGGGAGCCAGGGAGAAGGGACACGGTTGTGTTTATAGTGCCACAATTATCCAGCTGACCCCAAAGCCCTGGAACACCCCAGGGCAGCTCAGCCTCCAGAAAGTCACTTTGGGGACTGCCACCTCTGATTCCCGATATTGCCCTCTTCCCACATATCCAGGCAATGCCAGCTTTTCAGGGAAGCCAGGGAGCCTGTACTCAGCCCTGGGTGAAGGCAAATTTCACAGCTCAGCCCCTGCAGTTTGAGTTGTTACACTCCATCACCCCCCTAAGGGCTGCTGCACCTGTTGGGGCAAATTGAAAACACCCACTTAGCCCAAAAAACAACCCCCAAACTAACTCACAGAACTCCACACCTGGCACACCGGCCCAGCACCCCAAAAATCAGCAGGCACCGTCTGTGCTGGTCCAATTCCCCCAGGGAGAGGCAGGCAGAGAGAAATGTGAAGTTACACCACAGCCCATGGAATCACAGAATGGTTTGGGTTAGAAGGGACATTAAAGTTCTACCCAGTGCCACCAGGACACCTTCCACCATCCCAGGCTGCTCCAAGCCCCATCCAGCCTGGCCTTGGACACTTCCAGGGATCCAGGGGCAGCCACAGCTTCTCTGGGCACCCTGTGCCAGGGCCTGCCCACCCTCCCAGGGAACAATTCCTTCCCAATATCCCATATAAATCTCTCCTCTTGTAATCTAAACCATTTCCATGTAAAAAAACAGGTGAATCTGCCCATGTAAAAAGTCAGCTGGATTCCCAACCCGGCCCTTCCTGGCACCTCTGAAAACCCAACCCCTCCTCATTTTCTGTCGCAAAAACCCACCTGTGGAGACATCGCCTCTCTCCAGAGCCAGAGCTGGCTGCAGGAGCTGCTTCTGCGAGGCAGGAGGGAAGCAAAGTCCAGGGGAGGCTTAAGGGGAGAGCTGCAGAGTCCCAACAGAGCGCCTTTTGTTCCCGAGCTGCCGATAAGGAGCAGGAGCTCCAGCGCTTCCCCAGCGTGTGACCGTGGCCTCCTCCAGCTCCCCTCAATTCCAAAATAAAAGCATGGCTCGGGAGCCTCGCTCCAGGTGCTCACACTTCCCAAAAATCTATCCCCCAAATAAAAAGGTTCAATCCAAAAGCGACCTGTCTGGGTTTATCTCAACCTTCGTGGTGCTTCTGGTGAATAATTAAACGTTAAATGACAAATTCCTTCCTTATAGCCACAACAGAGAGATGAATAAAGCTTGGATTGCTCACCAGGGGCAGGTCAGAAGTGCTTTTGGTGACTCAGAGGTTG